GTGTTTTAATATATTTCCTATTATTTATAAATTATATAATTTATTTCGATTTAATTCGAATTAGCCCGAAATATTTCGAATAGTATCTGATTAATTCGAATTTATTAGCTTTTCTTTCTAATTAGTAGCTATCTTTTAGTTTATAAATATTTTTCTGTTTTGATGCATTTACCTCTATTCGAATTGTTTCGAACTAATTCGAAATATTGCACAAAATATTACGTAATATTGTGCTATAAGTTTCGTAATTTTGCGTAATATATTTCGTAATTTTACGTTATTTATTGCGCAATATTTTGCAACTTTTTGCGCAATATTATGTCCAGACCGTAATTATTGCACAATATTTCGGGCTGTAATAACTTACGTAAAATTACGTTAATATATTTCACTGATGCAGGTATATTCTTTTTTGTATGGATTTAAATATTTATAAAAGTCTATCATCTCTCTACCTTTAAACCATTCAAGAATAGTTTTCCACAGGCCTTGATTTTTGCAGCCTGTGTTATTTATATCTAATCTTGTATTACATATTGTATTAAAATCTCTGAGTATGCTTACATATGTGTTAATCTTGTTTCTTTATATTTTTTGTACTACTATACATTGCACCTCCTTGTTAATTTTTTTATCCACTGATGGCAAATAAATTACCTATATCTGTATAATTGCTTTCTTAAAGAAAAACTCTAACTTTATCATATATGAGTTGTACTTTCTGACTATAGCTAAGTATCTTGACCAATTCTTACTAACTAAAGCTCCTACTTTTGACCCTTTTTATTTACTTCTTTTGTCGACCAAAAGCTTAAATACCCAAATTCTTCTACATCTATCTATTTATTCTCTTTTTCATTTATGTTAGTTTTTGCCATCCCAATAATGTCTAAACTCTCTTTTTTACTTAAGACTACTAAATTTCTTAATTTTTGCCTATTTAGCTTCAAACCATTTATATTATAAAACTCTAAAATCAGTTACTCGTAATTATTATTCTTATTATTATTATTTTTTCTATTTAGATCCTTACATTGTTCTTGTATTTTGGGCTCTCTTAAAGCAGAAGTGAGGATTTTTGCCATGCCTATACAATTTGATTCACCCATGATGCCTTTTAGAAGTGTGATTCAATTATGTGCTCTATTGCTTTAAACTTTTGTCTTATTTTTGCAAAAATTTCCTTCAACTCATTTGCTTCTTGGCTTTCAGTTTTCTTTCCTTTTCAATCAGCAATTAGTAGTCTATTTGAACTCATTACAAGCTCTGATTTCTGAAGTAAATTTATATTATCTGTATTGGAGAGAGGCTTTCTAGTATTACTTCTGGCTCGTATGCTACCCCTTTTGCTATTTGTAAACACTCTCTTGGTGTGAGTAATCTTTTTTGGACTTTGATTTCTATTTGCTTGTTGCTTTCTTGTGTGATATTCACTTTTGTATATACTTCTTTTTGAGTATTCTTTTCTTTCTTGATTCTCTTTATTATTGAAAAGGCAATTTCCCCATATCGGTAATTTTCATCCCCTTCATATAAAGATTAATATAATATAGATTTGTTGACTTTGCTTTTTGTAAATCTAACATTGATGCAAAATATATGAATGCTACTTCTCTTTGATTGCCATTTCTGTTATCTGGTATATATACTATTTTTACTTTAAAATTGCTGAGTTGGTGAAATAATGTTGTTTCACATACATTATGCAGTATTCATCTTAATATAAGTTTGAATTCATTTCTGAGCCCCAATTCTCTTTTGTTAAATTTACTGCTTGTTACTCTTACTGTTTTTTCTATTTTATAATGAATTGTCCAAGTATTTATAAGAAAGTGCTTTTTTTCCTCATTTGTATATCTAACTCTAACATGAGCAGCTTTATGTTTTGCTGAGATGTGCCACTCAATATTTTCTACAAACCAATATAGTTTCAGACATCTTTTTATATTTCCTGTTCTTGCTGATGTGGGTAAGTCCCAGATAATTAAATTCACTTTCTTTTGAAGAGCCCATTTCTTGTTGTTTTTGGGATTTACTCCTGGTATAGTCTTCTGTTTAAAACTATTCTTATGTGTCTACATTGATTTATATATTTCTTCATTTCTGTCTAAAGTAGTATCTTCTCCTGTTTTAACCTCTTTTTTATTCAATTCTTCTTTTTTTTTGACTATACCTATTTATTCTTTCACTTCTTGTCTTCTTGCCAAAACTCAGTATAAATTAATATCACTTTAGTTTCTGCACCTTCTGTGTTATCTTTTTTTAATATTTCAATTTCACTTTTATTAAAGTTTATTTCCGCTAATCTTAGTAGTACTGCTTCTTCTTTTTTTCTAGCAGTTAGATCTTCTGTATTATTTGTTATTTCATGTTTTCTTTTTAAGATTTCTTCTTGGATACTTGGTTCTTTTTCTTTGATATCAAGCTCCATTTTTGTTAAAGTACCTAATATTTTTAGTCTTTTCTCCTCATTTAGTTTAAGTCTTTCTTTTTTCATACTTGTTGTAATCTTAGTTACCTTACCAAGGAGTACCTGTTCCTCGATTGACAATTCTTTATTTTGATCAAATTTATACAAGGCCTATTTATGAATTTTGATTGTGCTACGAATTGTTGTTATAAATTCTGGGTCTTGGTATCCAATATAACTCACTATATTTCAATTTATATTTAATATAAATTTACTTTGCTCTGCAAATACTTCTTGTTGTTTATTTTGCAATACCGAAGCAAAATCTTTAATTAGCATTAGATCCATGTATTCAATATATGTATATTATATCTGTGCTATAAGTATGTTGTGTGAATATCTTTTCAAAATTTTTGAATATAAATTTGTTTTGTTATATGTGAACACGTGTTGAATTGTTTGTTTGATTATGCATCTTACAGTGATCTGTGATTCGGGGTCTAGATGTATCCCCTCAAAAAACAGAAAAAATTTTCAAAAGTGGTTTTTTATAAAAAAAAAATGTCTTCAACCGAAGAAAGTTCTAACATTTGTATTGAAAACTTTGTTGTTGTTCTAACAAAGTATATGTATTATTAGGTGCTTTTCCTTTTTACTTAGACTACTTTGTATTGTTTTCTATATCTAAAAATGTTTTATAACTAATTTTTCTTTTGTCAAAATTTGGTGCAAATGATCAGTAGAGAGAGTTGAACTTTTGTTGTTACAATAACATTAATAGTAATAATGACATTGACTTAATGTTATTACTTGATTTAGAAAAAAAAAAAATTTTAACAGCAGCAAAACTAAAAAGATTGGAATAAAAAAAATTATTTCTTAATAATCTTAGTTAAGACAATACAAATAAGAGCATATATAAACTTGATACTTTAATGACTGCGATTAGTACATTTTTACATGCTGATGTTGAAAATATCTCTTTTCAATAAAGCACATCAACTCTCATAAAAAATATGTCAAAAAAAAGTAATTCGGCCCCATATAAATATATAACATAAATACTAAAGTTGTTAGTCAAGATGTTGGAAACTTCGAAAATGATAGAAATATTTTCAGTCATAAAAACACTTCTTCTCTTGTGAAAAATATGTCTAAAAAAAGAAATTCGGCACCTATACATAACACAATATTAAAGTTATCTATCATCATAATATTAGAAATCTCAAAAATGATGAAAATATTTCCAGTCAGGAAAACACTTCTTCTTTTGTGAAAAATATGTCTAAAAAAAGAAATTTAGCCCCTATGCGAACACATAATACAAACTCTAAAGTTATCAATCAAGATGTTAGAAACTTTGAAAATAATGAAAATATTTCCAGTCAAGAAAACACATCAACTCTCATAAAAAATGTGTCTAAAAAAAGAAATTCAGCCCCAAGCAAACACACTAAGGTTATCGATCAAGATGATAAAAATCTCAAAACTGATAGTAATATATAAAGCTTTAGATTTGCAATTAATGCTATTAAAAAAAAATTCAATCTATGTATTATTAAAAATTATAAAATATAGAACAAAATATAATCCCAGAGGATAATGTGTTGTCATCACTAAGAAATAGTCTTCATTCTTGCATTCCAAAATTTAATAATATCAAAAGTGTATCAGAAACATTTGAAGATAGTGCACAAGAATCTGGTACTTAATAAGATTATTATAACTATTTTTTTGTAAAATAATTCACAGAGGTGTTGCTTTGAATTTATTTATTTGATTTTTTCTTTATATAGGTAAAAAAAGGAAAAGAGAACAAAAGGTAAAAAAACTTCCTCACATAGAGCAAGGGCCGGTAAAAAGACTAAGAATTAAAAGAAGTATTGGGTACTACATATAATGCAAGTCCTGGATATAATTTATATACCGCTTTTATTACTAGCTTTTTTTTATGCAAGTTCCGTATTTATTCTATACATATTGTTTTTATTACCATGACACTTTCAGATTTATTCCATGATTATTATAAAAAAGTTTCAGCTTTATTTTATGTAGTTTATAAAAATTCAGTAAAGCCTCCACATTTATTTCATATTATCTCCTTTTATTATCATATTTATGTATTATGAAATTTTCTATAAATATGAAATTTTCTATGAATTTGCCTTTTATTGTCATATAAATTTGAATAAGTTCTCCAACTAATTTCCATAATTAGTATAATTTTTATTGTATTATCACATATATTCCATAAAGTTTTTGTATAATTTCCATCATTTTATTAAAATTACTCCATAAATATTCCGTTTATGGAAGAAATACAGATATTATTACTTAGCAATTCAAATGGAAAAAAATATGGAATCTATACATGGAAAAATTACGGAAAAGTTATGTTTGATTTTTTTTACAGGGTATCCGGTGACAAAAGATAGTGAGGCAAAAACGGCTTCGCAAAAAAGCCGTGAATGAAATTATGGAATCCTGCGCATGATTTTTTATATATTACATATAATGATGGCAAAGCGGTATAATGCTGGTATAAACTTATAATGCCAGCAAAATTTTTATAGATCCCGAAACATTCCGAAAGCTAATAAGAAATTCCGAAAAATTCCCATGCGCATTTCATGCGCATGATGCGCATAATGCGCATAATGCGCATGAAACTTGAAAAAATCAGAATTTGCACAACACTAGAGCTGATAGGCCTAGCCGAGCTAATTTTCAGCTCAGCTAACCAATGGCTTAGCTTGTGCTACATTGAGCCGTAAGAGCAGTTTCAGAGCCTATGTTGTAATTACTATAATTAATAAAAAATCAATTGTCTACAATAAACTATAACAATGACGATAGTATCATATAATTCATAAAGACAATAAAATTAATTAATAATAAACTATATGAAACTATAACGATAATAATATCATATTATCTCTCTTTCTTTTTATTTTTCTTACTCTTACAATAATCGTACTTTTACAATAATCGTACTCTTACAATAATCATACTCTTACAATTATAATAAACGTATATTTCTGCTAAATAAATTTCTAACAAATAAATTTTTTTTATAATGATAATTGGAGCCGCGGCTCTTGCCATCTCGGCTAAAAAAATGGCCCGGCTAAAAGTGGCTCGGCTAAAAAGCAGATCAACTCCATTATGATTGAGCCGTAGCCGAGCCAGAGCTAGCCGTTTGCATCACTACAAATGAGTAGCCTAACTATCGTAATAAATTATTACTGTAATAAAGAAAATACAAATTATCGCCTAAAACTTTTTTAAGTTCTTAAATAAAATTAGGATATTCTTTTATTAGTGTTTCTAAAATACTATTTTATCTTATTATTATTATTATTATTATTATTATTATTGTTGTCCTTCGTAATCGAATTAACCAAATATGGATTTGTTGTCAACTAGAACAGGAGGAACCGTCGATGTTACACGACTAATCCTTCACAATTATTTCACAATACCAGAAAATAATCCCACAGCATTTTATTATAATAAAAATGGTGCGGGATTATAATCATAACATGTACTAGCGGAATGATCTGGTATTGTAAAATAATTTTTTATATGTTACGCACCAGGTAAAGGATCAGTCGTATAACATCGACGGTTCCTCCTGTTGTCAATTAGTCGTTAACAGCTTATCCGAAGCCGGTTTTAGTAGCAACTGAATCGGCTTTTTAAAGTTATGGCTCCAGATAAAGTCATAGTTATTGAAGCCACAACTTGTGTCATGGTTAGAGCATAACTTGTAGATAATACTATACCGATATAGTACTGCAGTATTGTATTAAATATTATTACGTAGCTGATTTGAAAATTAGTGGGACACGTGATGAATTTTGTAATGATCATCGGCAAATTTCGGTAATAGTTTTCGATAATAAAAATTTCGGCCGGTACATTATTTCGGTATAATTTTGTACCGGCCGAAATTTATATTATCGAAACCATTTATATTACCGAAAAATAATTACCGAAATTTGCCGACTATCATCAAAAAATCCATCACGTGTCCCACTAATTTTCAAATCATTAGAAATCTTTAATAGGTCTACAAAACTCTTCGTCATACAGTATAATGTCAGGTTTTCACATGATATTCTCAACAAATATAATAAAATTTTGATCGTTTGGAATCTTAACCCGAAATTCATTTTTAAATAAGTCGACAAATTCGTGGTCTTATTTAATTTTTTTAATATTAGTACTATTCTTGTAATATATTTATTATAAAAGTCCAAGTGTTATTCTTCATTTTGAATGTCATGACGGCAGACCATATAAGTTGTAGTAGTGATTTCTTCTTTGATCGTCAAATTTTACAATATTGATAACGAGATCAGTGTGGATATAGAAAATCAGACTCACAGTCAAAAAAACCATCTGTTAATTGAATTACGCGACACTGGTATTGAGTAAGCTAATTACGTAGAAATATTTAATTATTTTTAAACGCATTTAATAATTTAACTATTGTTAGTATTGATCCAAATTTTATGAAACATATTTGGGAATACTTTTCACGAGTGGACTCGTCATTTACCAGAAAACAAGATGGTATAGGACTTAGGACTTTCAATATGTAAAAATTTAGTAGAAATTAATGGTGGAGAAATTAATGCCGAAAGCCAGTTAAGAAAAGGGTCTAAATTTTGGTTTACATGGAATATTGATCTAACCACCAAATACATCACTTAATAAGCAAATTAGTTCTATACTACAGAAACCCATTTGGTTCCGTGGATCTCACGTGTATGACTTTGTAGATCTATTTACATTTATAGTTTCCTCGTCGATTAGATTTATCGCACGAGTAATTAATTTCATCATAATATCGCAATTAACTTTTAATTAAAGAGTCTATCTTCGTCATATTAACATAACGCTATAATAATCGACCAATCGAAAAAAGATATTTTTTGTCAATTAACGATAGTAATTAAAAGTCTAAAGTCAATTACTAATCAAGAATTTTGCTCATCTAATAGATTCCGAACTCAATTCGTTCAGGAGGAGTTTAAATATTATAGTAAAAAATTATATTGCTACAAAAATTCGAGTTTAACTGGTTTGGGTTTCAAACAGTGCCGAGCTGAGTAGGATAAAATCCCTAACATAAACTCTATGAAACGAACTTGTCTGTGAATTAATCGTCTATAAAATAACATTGGCTGTAAATTAATTGCCTGTGAATATTACTCATTAACATACCTGTGCATTGCATAACCAACTCCTTAGCAATATCTTTTACCCCTTTTTATATAGCACATATACTTTCAAAGATACGATATTTATTTATAATTTTTTTTAGTAATACAATACATTAATTCTAAAATAAATTTAAATGAAAAATTTCTGAATTATATTTAATCAAGCATCAAGCATTTCTACATCCGAAAATGTGTTTTCAACGGTTTAATTTTTTTAAAAGTTCAATAGCTTTGGAATAATTTTTCAAAGCTGCTAATCTGGCATAATGCTTAGCCTTTTCCTTATTAATTGGTTCACTATATAATCCTTCCATATATATAATTGCCAAATTATAATAGGCGATTTCATTTCCATTATCAGCAGACATTTTAATATATTTAATTATTTCAGAATATTCTTTTGAGTTATTCTCTATCAAGGTAAATGCATATCGAAGTTGAGCTTCAGGAACACAATTATCAGCAGCTTCTTTGAAGAGTTCAAGAGCAGCATTCATGTCTTTTTCAACGTGATATCCACTTAGTAAATAATATCCTTTCCAATACTTTGCAAGATTATTTCCACATTCAGAAAGACCAGAAAAACACTCCCAAGCATCTTTATAATTCTTTTCTCGATGAGCTTTATAACCCATTTCAAAAGAAACCAAGGTTTTAATAACAGGGATATTGTCTAAAGAGAGCCTCTTATAATCCTCTGGAAGTTTTTCAAAGTTACGTTCATCGCTATGAGGTCCTTCATTCATGTTTGGTGAAAGACTATAAGATGGAATATTACTATCACTAATATGTTTAGGAAGTATCATGGGAGAAGCTCCCTTAGGAACAAATTTTTCATAAGCTTCTTTAAGAGTTGATAGTACATTCATGACTTGCGGACGTTCGGAAGGATTGTGATTCCAAGCTTAAACAATAAAATCTTGTAGTTAGATGAAATGTAAAATGATTAATTCTTGAGCAAAAACATATCCATAGATTCATGAGTATTACCCTGCTTAATTATTTTAAAAAGTTCTTGTGCGATTGGACTTGGATCAAGCAATAATTTTTCTCGTTTCTTGTTTCTGACTAGTTGTTCAATTTCGGGCACGGAATTAATAGTTTCATATGGAATTCGTTGATGAGAGAGTTCCCACAGAAGCATTCCAAAACTAATCACGGAAATAATTAATAAAATCATTTTTTAAATATGTAATATCTCTTTACAAATTTTAAAAACACATACCTGTACATTTCACATTGATGATTATACTTAACAGTAGAGTCATATTGCGCATGGCTTATTTTTTCAGGAGCCAACCACCGAATGATGCTCAATATATTCTCGATTTTTACAGACATTTCTTGCTCCGTTCGGCTAAGCCAGAAATTCGAAATTTTGGGCTCATAACTTTCGGTAATCTTTTTAAAAATAAATTAAAGAATTTTACTATGAATAAGAATATTTTTGTGGTAGCCAATAAAAATAAAATACTTTAATATTATTTAACATTAAATTGAAAATAAGTTTTTACATACTAATATATTTTCACAGCGAATATCGTGATGTAGAATATTGCATTGGTGTATAAATAAAAGACCATTACAAATATCACGAGCAATTTTTAATTTAGTGCTCCAATCAATAGAATTCATCGTGTACAACTTTCTCAGATTACCATTCGGCGCCCATTCAAAAACCATAACAGGGCTATTATTTATTTTCGAATGGCCATGAAAGCCAATAATATATTGACAAGTTCCCAGTCTACGCAAGATAGCAAATTCGGCATGAGATTTTACATCATTTTTTTCAACAAGAATCTTTTTACATGCGACTTTAAGCCCCCGATAAGATCTTTTAAGGATATTTTTTCCAGAATCATTTTCTGAATGATCTAAAGAAAGTTCCCTCGGATTTATTTCAGGCTCTCTATAAGCTTCGAGTAATGTGGTATCGATAGAGGATGTCCGCTTCATAAGTTGTTCAAACTTTTCTGACAATTGTGCCAACTCTTTCTTTTGTTCATTAAGATTATCATTCACATAATTCATAATCTAATCACACGATTTCAAATGTTTTAAAGATTAATCATACGTGCAATGTTCAAAATAGTAATAGACTACGATAATTCTGTAATTACCTTATTTAAAACATTAATATCTTCCATAATTTTTTTATTTTCTATATCTTTTTTATTTATATCATATACAGCCAAAGTAAAATTTAAATCTTTACATACTTCTTCAAATTCTTTAATATTTTTATCAAATGCATCTTTAACTGCGTTTGCAGTCAAGAATTTTTGCAAGCTTGATAATTGAGTAACTTCTTTCACAAATTTATTTATATTTTCTAAAACGGTTACAAATCTAATCCATGCATTATAATAATCTTGTTTTCTAAAACGTTCTTCATTTTCCATTTGTTGTCTTTGTAAAGATTTGACTGCTTGCTGAGCAATTTCTACACGATCAATTAAAGCTAAACAAATTTTCTGATTACATTTTCCATTTCTGTAAGCTTTCACTATTGAGTCTAGAATAGTTTGAACAGATTGAAATAATGGAAGAAATGGTTGAACTGCATCTCCAACAACTTGAAAACCATCAATTACGCTATCGGAACTTATTTCATATTCACCACTTAAATGTGGTTTATAATTCTTATCGTCTATTTTTCTTTTTTTATTGTTTTCATCAGATTTCACTGTATTTTCCTCAGGCATACTTTCTTCACATATCAATTTATTTCCTTGAGACATTTTAACTATATATACAAAAGTTTCTATGAAATAATTGTCCAGACGGAACCTATAACTAAGAGCGGAGTGTAGAAATCCGTGCATCTCACTTTTTATTGACATTTCCGGATTTGTATAACTGTCACTCTTACTAATGCTAACGCTATTTGCTGATTAGGGCTGATCGTCGCCGAAGTACAGATTGGGTCAAATCTTAAATAAATAAATAACGATAGTAATAGTGTGAATTTATTAACGTAAATTCAGTGCATAGGGAAAATTTAGTGAATTTATAGGATTTATTGAATTTAGTGTATATAGAGAACACATATCCGGCTTTGGAAATGCGTACACGTAATACTGAATACTATGACACGCATATAATCGTTATTGAACGTATTGGTATTACTGTATTTAGTTCCGGAGAGTAAAGTTCGCCAGCCTGGCAGATGTAATCACGTATCCGGAAAACCCCTTGCGCCTGGTATTGACATAGTGAAATACTTCTATTAACTGTTCTAATACCAGATACCGGTACATTCACACGTACGTACGCTGTAATTATCTTGAGAATATAAATGATACCACAATCCAACAGCGATAGTTATCAAAAGAGGGTAATTGTATCCGTGGATTTAATGATAACAGATAAATATATTTTATTATTTCTTTTATGATCAGTAATTTATGTTCTTAATAACGATATAAGGATTTATTACTGGGAACTAATTGCTAATACGCATAAAAGTCGAGACTGATTAATTGTTAAGATAACAGATAAGCTGTATGTACTGTACGTACGTACGCACATGTGCAGCTAACAGTTAGCTATATTTATCGTTATGTGTGATTGATGTTACAATAAGGTTAGATTCGGGCATTAAAGATAGGTTTTAACAAAAGTAATTAATCTAAAACGACACATAGTATACGGCATTACTGCGCCGTTGCCCATTGTTTGAAGTATCGTTTTTGATACATCAAATATACAAGTAATAAAATTTTAATATAATATGAATCAAAACGACACTTATTGAATGGAAGGTATTTACTATGTGTCGTTTTAGTCCTGATGAGGGTAATTGAAGTGAATATGACGCAGTCAAACGTTTGACCAAGCAATAACTCAGCATTGGCAAAATAAAGGGCTCTGACTGTAATGTAGAGTTTTAGAGATCTTAACACAGATAAGTTAAATACCAAACGGGATCTTTCATTATTTAATGATGAATTACAGCCGATGAATGAGCTGAACATGTAAGTAGCCGGTCCGAAAGAGCGTTGTGGTGGGGAATTTGATTTCTTTATGACGTCAAGGATTTCTGCCCCGGCTTCACGTGGGTATAATAAAGCTCATTTATTCATTAAAAATTTGATCTGATTTTACACGTGTAAATATAGTGTTGTTTATAGAAAATGTGTTCACATATCTAGCCTATATTATCGTAGATGAAACCTTGGTAAAAAATATTATAAGCTTAAACACTAAAGCGTTAAATCCGTCACTGAGAAAAATTTTTGGTGCATAAAATCTAAGCTTAATAATCTCATGTCGAATGCGAATGCATTCTTTTATGATGCTCTCAAGAAATGTATAAAAGAAATTGACATTTCTGGGTTCACTTTAATACTAATACCGGCTGAATTGAACGGTTAAACAATTAAACTGTTAGGAAAATTTTAGGCGGTTCTAATCCCTACTTGGCAAAATCTACTGGCAAATAGAGTTATTAGTGACGATGAAAAATTTAGGCCGGAGGCAAAGGAGTAATTTTTTGGTAAGGATAATTTAGTGATACATAGCGATAGGTTGAATTTATATTTGTGAATACTGTAGTTATAACAAATATTGGAACAAGCTACAGTATTTCACATCCACCTCGAAATGTTCACCTGAGTCCCACTGTTTCTTCCCGCGTAGAGACGAACGGTGGCAAAAAAGAGCCAAGAACAATAGTACAATCAGACCTCTCTAAGTGCATATCGTTGGAACCAGTTCTGAGATATGCATTTAGAGAACACTAATAGAATTATAGTTTGTACAAGTCACGTGCTAAACCTATCTCGTATAATCTTGATTTGATTGGCTAAGGGCCAGGAAAATAGTACGCATTTGCAGAATAAAGAACATGCATTTATTTATTAAGCCCGTTAATGGACCAGATGATTAATATGCATTTAAAGAGGTTATGCATTTAGGGGGGTGCATTTAGAGAGGTCTGACTGTAAAACAAGAAAATTAAAGAATTATCAGAATCCAATGAGTTGGATACAATAGAATCATTCAAATCTTCATGTAGCTTTTATTTTTCTGTATCAATAAAATAGGTCCTAATTCTCATACTTAATAAGTTTACTTTTGTATAAACCTAGTGCCCTTATTTAATAGGTGTTATTTCTGGAATTTATTTTATTGATAGAGTTTTTTGGCAGAAGTAATTCTTAGTTTTCGCAAAATCACAATTAGAAGTTAACAAAATTTTGACTGATGTGTAATTTATTACAGAATAACTTAATGTATTACTGTAAGCTAACTTTCTTAGTATGAAGACTTTACTTCATAATTACCATAATTCTTTGATATTCAAGAATCACGTATAAAGATTACACGTATTAGAAAAGCCACAATATATATAAATTTACAACATTGTAAATTAAATATGGTTTATTATAATAAATATAGAATAAATTTTCATTTTTAATCAAACAAGATATGCAAGAACTCTCAATCTAACGTACATAATCATCCAACTTCCATCTTTCTCGTTATAAACTTCAGGTTTACACATCTCAATTACCTCACTTATAACGTCTTCCTTCTCTTTATCATCCAAATTTTGTATAAATGGATTTCCAAAAGTATCAATCCACCCACGAAGATTAGTTGGTAAATAAGTTGGACGAGGAAATAGATTGATTGACGAAATTTGGAATGAGGCGTTTGTGAGTAATGCGGAGAAGGTTTCTTTGGATGGAAAGACCCTTTTTTGAGTTCCAAAAAAAGTGTATAAGTTTGATATATGTTTGATATAATATGAATTATTTAATTTTAAAGCACTCTTACCACGGTGAAAGAGATGCACCATTGTATCCGCGTTTGTCGAGAGCTGATATCATTGACCTTTCAATAACTTACGTGTGTATTTACATTAAAAGTAAATATCAAACCAAAATCTTCTAGTTCACTTAATTGTAAACTTGGCGTAAATTTACCTTGCACGTTTCCTTTACCACCCATCTCTAATACCAAACGTCCACCGGGTTTAAGACATGTACGAATGCCTTCCACCACAGCTTCTTGATTTTTGATCCAGTGAAGCGCTTTGAATTTACACATTCAGATTAGAAAATTTTCGAAGAGACCCTATTTTCATGATATATCAATAATTACCAGCATTAGAGAACACAGCATCAAAAGTTCCTTCAAATCCTTCAGAAATAGTCCACTCTTTCAATTTTTCTCCATCAACAACTCTAACGTCTTTACATCCTAATGAAAAACCGAATATGAATTATGAGTGTGTATATGTTCAATAATGTAGAATATTTTCTCTTGAATGTACCTGCAGCTCGTGCGGCTTCAATCATTCGAGGGCTTTTGTCGATGCCAATACATTCTTTACACATTTGCTGAATTTGAAAAGTGAGTACACCATCACCACAACCGAGATCTAAGATCCGTTCATGTGATTTAGGAGATAGTAAAGATATCAGGTCTTGAGGGATAGTTGACACGAATCGAGCGTGATAGGAATAATTAGACGGAGACCATGAATCTGTTTGTACCTCCATGTAGACAGGTAACAAGGAAAGATTTGATAATACTGATGGTATTTATATTATAATTAATTTTAAGTTATTACACAAGAATCTTGGAACATAGTGAGTCATATTAAATCATCAAGAAAGATTTGCATCGGATAAATATTAGCCCTTAAACGAAACGAAGCCATTCATGGCAAGTTCTTATTTACAATACGCTGCGTCATCATGAATCAAATAATTTCATATCAGTATAAACTTTATTGTACTATGTAATTCCAAATAGCGATAGGAAAAAAAACTTAATTTTCGAAGTTAACCCTTTAAGCCGTAACTTGAGATACTTGGCATTTGATTATTACTTCACGTTGAAAATATTATCAAAAAAAAACGAGTTTACTAATTTCCTCACAACTTCTGATTGGTTCTACTAATTATACACATATCATAGTACTCCGATAGTGAAGTGATGGTGAAAATTAGTAAACCCAAAAAGAGTATCTTGTCAGCAATAGTAAAAGAGTTAATAAAAGAAAAGTTTTTATCATTCAATTATGGCTTTCATGAAGACAATTGATACCATCAACATAAAATTTGTCGTGCTGATTTGTCATACGAATCAACCGGATCATTTTTGATAAATCAAGTATCAGAACTTATTGCTCGTAAAAGAATCCAATCTATTATTTAATTTAATTTATTGCGGTTTGCAAAATTTCACAAAATTTTGCAGATTATCGAAAAAAAAAGAAATCACTAAGAAATCACCCAAGTTTTAGCGATTTCTGATTTCTTAAAACTACTCCAATATAGTCTCTTAAAATCGAGTGATTTCTTGGCGATTTCTTTTTTTTCGATGATCTGCAAATTTCACATAATTTACATAATTTGCAAGCCGCAATAAATGATCTATTATTAATTTTATTAACAGTATCATTCAATGATGATTATACATACGTATCTTCTTTTTTTTTTCTATTGTCATTTTTTTGATGAGATCTCAATCCAAAAGTTCCTAAAACTATCAAGATTTTGGCAAAATCACTATTTAAATGTTTCGCGAAATGATGAGAAAGGATGAACGAGGACATTATTTAAAGGAAGTAAAGTAAACTACAAAAACTATCATTCTCAATTTTTTCCTTCAGCACAATAAATTTGAAAATTTTATAAGAATAAATATTCTCCTGAACCAAGAAACATTTTAAACTATAAAGCGTTTCAAGATGCCGAAATTTAAGCACACAAAATTAATTATTCATTTAATAATTGTGGACATTCTTTTTATCGAATCCTCTTTTGCAAATTTTTATTATCCATACCAAAACGCATTTCCAAACCCAAATTTTTATACGAATCCATATCCATATCTTCCGGAATATTTCATGAATCCAAATTTTTATTCTTTTCCATATTACGATTATCCACCAGAAGATTTTAATTTGATACCTAATGAATTTTATGGTCATCATTTATTCCATGGTGGACCTGCGAGTACACTTTATCCATATTCGAACTTTCAATTTAAACCGTCTCCTTTATATGAACGTAGAAACTTTCTAGAGTTTCCAAAAAATAAATTTGCAAGGGATTTCTTTATTGAAAATAATTTTCATAAACGTTCTGCTGAACCACTCTTGAAACCACCAACAATTTTCATGGCGAATCAATTTCAAGATGCTGAAAATACTCAAGCTGAAAATCTTAATTCTGTTAATATGGCTGCGACTAATGCTAATACTTTAGCAAGCTCAAAAGATAAAGGGTCAACAAGCACATTGCTTAATAAAAGAAACCAACCTCAGT